TTAACGACATCAAACTAAAAATTAATCAGAGCATCGCCCCTTTTTTTTACTGTTATATGTATTATATTCTTATTTATATGTATTATACCAATTGAAATGTGGTCATGTCAGGTGTTGTCTTCACCATAACATCGATAGTTGATACCTGTGACTACCCCATGTGGAATTTAAGTCGTGAAACTATGTTTTTGATTTGGGCATTAACACCTTAGTCAGAATCTAATAATTGCGAAATCATATCCCGTACAAGTAAAAGTTATCCACTAAAACTTCACCTAATACTATGGATCAACAGCAACAATGTAAAAATTACAAGTAATCATGTCGCAATTCTTTTCTAGCAATCTTGCCTATCAAAAACTAACAAATCAAATTATTCCAACTATATAATGATAGAATCATACCCAAATACGGAATGAGATGCCAATTTTATGTACGAATTGAAAAAAACTCATAACAACGAGTAGACCTTTATTAAATCTGATCGCTGCTAACCCGAGATCAGGCTGACCTGCCAATTAGCCAATCACTAGGAAACCTCGCCTACCGCATCACTTATCGCATTGGCGATCGCCATCGCATTCGAATCGCGCTCGTGACGGACGAAAGTCGGTTAATGCATGGGAAAAGCAACGAAAACGATGCGGTTTCGCAAGCGATCGCGGCGATTGATATTGCGATTATTCGTGGTAGGAAGTCACCTGTTAGCTAAAGTACAATGTTACATACACATTCATCTATTTAGCATAATTTTCCTGTTGAATTAGTTATTAATTTTTAGTTAGGAAGTTAGAATTTTTAGTTAGAAAAATATTATAGTAATCTAGGACTTACACTAGTAAGTCCTAGATTACTATAATATTTTTTATTTGATTAGATCGTTTTGTCAATTTCTTTGACATCAATAAAATAGATTGAAGTTGACAGATGTACTTTTAATAATTATTTTTATATTTGATTCATGTTATTAATTATATTTTTATTTTAGCCAGAGTAAACAAACGTAAAAAAATATAACTATCGTCTGTCCAGTATTAGTATACAGTTCGACACAAAATTTAATAAATGAAAATGTATAAAAAAATTAACAATGAGAGATAAACTCCCAAATCTTATAACTTGGACCACATTTCGGCTCTATCTACTCGTATTTACATCTAATTATTCAGTAGTCATTTTAGATCTTCCTGTATCTGCGTTATGTATTCAAATTGCAGCTTCCAAGTTTATCGCTCATAATTAGACAAAGTGGCATCTATGTAAGAAGTAATGGTGCATTGATGTAAGATTGGGTGTGTAGTTATGTAGTAACTGTTACCAAATTAAGTTAAATCTTAACGAGGAGTGTGTATGCGATAAAATTACGATGTAATTATGCTTCAGTATTCGTTTTATCCCTATTCAGAGACTTCCTCTCCCTCCCCTCACCAAGTCTAAGGGGTTTTACGCAGTTGCGAGGATAAAAAAGACTTTTTTTTATGATTTTTTTTTAAATATATAATAAAAAAAATCAATTATTTATTACACCACATCATGAAATCCTACATTAATGTATCCTTTAAAAGAATCCACTATATTTTGTAATATTAGTTGTGATTGATGAATAACTCATAAAATAAACTCTTTTTGCCTTGCAACTTCATATAACCCCGTAATTTGTGTGGGCAATTGTTTAATTGCCTTAATTGTATACTAATAACTATAATATTATTACTTGTATTTTAATTGTCGACGGCATTAACACATTTATGTCCCATTAAATTAAAAATATTTTAAGTACTTAATAATTTTCAATAAATTTTATTTGTAAATTTATTTTTTATTTTTTATGCCTTCTTAATCTGATTAACCTTCTCATATCATTGTAGAACAAACAAAACAAATAAGAAAATTCCATATCCTAATTTGGAGCAACTGGGATTGTATCCGGGATCCAATTTACGTAAAACAACGTGTCGACTGTTACGCTATACAGAACTATGGCATAGGTTCTCAAACTGGGCAATAACGGCCCCCCACATTTTAGACTTCTGAAGTCTCATAAAATAAATAAATTGATTGTTTTTTAGTTAGTATATCTTACTAATATTAGAAGCGCAGAAGTTTGCGGGTATGGATGGATGGATGGACTGATGTTTGTTACTCTTTCACGCAAAAACTACTGAACGGATTTTAATGAAACTTTACATTAATATAGCTTATATATCAGTATAACACATAGGATATAATGATGTTAAAACCAATTTTAGTATTTGGACAGATGGTAAATAATAAATTGATGAACCTTAGCGGCCTTTTTGACAGGACTGCTTGCTAGCCTAGCTTATATGTAAGATATAACTAGAACAGACACAACAGTTAACTACAGATGGATACGACATATACGAAGACGGACGACTAGAAATTTTATGAATATATTTTATCATCAGACAAGATCTTGCTTTTCTTCATTAAAGATCGCGATGTCTAACAGACCGTTAACATAGAAAAATATCAAAGTGGGCGACGAGTAAAATAAGTTTGAGAACCTCTGATCTCAGCTACGGTGGATTACGTTAACAATAACAGTTTCTTTAGAAAGGGAAATAGTACATCCTTATGAATACAAACATTAACTGAAACAATATGGAAGTGCTTTTTGGTGTGAAATACGTGAATACAGTCACGACCGACGCTCATTTGGCGTCGGAATATCTGAATATCCTTCGAGCATAAAGGAGAAAGCGCACGCCTACACTAGTGGTTGCATGTGCTTTTATTTACCACTAGTTATATACCGCAACTCCATCTGCATCTTTCAAATAGAAGGAGCATATGTCCGTCATCTTGTTACGGTATATATAAGTGCCAAATCGTATAATTACTACTGAACCAAATTTGTCATCTCAAATATGTGAAAAGGTAAGGAAAATACACAGGCAGGCAGACGCGGTCATTATTTATACGTATAATTAGTAAAAATCACGGGATCTTACCACGTTTTATATTTATTTGCTGAGTTCCCAATATTTCGGCAGTGTTTCAACCACCATGATCACGGGTAAACTGAAGAGCAGCGGGTAGATGGAAAATGAAATCTTTTTATGGGCAGACATATGCGTCTACCTTCACACATCTTCGTTTGTTGCTATTACTGGACTACTAATAAATATAAAACGTGGTAAGATCCCGTGATTTTTACTAATTATACGTATAGACAATTATAATATTAATAATTAATAATACTATGTAACAACATTATCTTACTTGTCTTACGGATCATCTAGTTTTTTATAAATATATTACTGACTGTATCTGAATCCGTATTACTGATTTACATTCAGTCAGTAATGTATTTATATAAAACAGCCATCCAAACTCGCTTTTGCAACATTTTTTTTACCGAAACATGATTATATATATGAACTATATTGATTAAATTACTAACAGCCATCCAAACTCACAAATTTTACCACATATAGGAACTTTGATTAAATTCTACAATAATCTATTTCAAGCCAAATTCCTATTTCGTATTGCTATCATTACATACGATTCATAATTATTAAAGCAATTTATTATCTGGACATAACTTATAAGACCCATGAAAGACCCAAGAATGGACGGAGATGTTTTTATAAAATTGATACGAGAAATAATCTCGCAATCTACTATCTGAAGGCCACACTTTACAGTCTGAGCATAATATTTCATTTATTTTTATTAACATTGAAACTATATTTTATATTTATAATGTTCTTATTTTGAAGAAACAATGAGACAGGAAATGCGGTCATATTTCACGATTTCCGCAATGCGCATGCGCAGCTCACAGCGAGCAACGGGACTGCGCGTCGCAAGATTTATTAGGCGCCATTTTACGACATTACCATATATGGATAATATGCCGGAACTGTTAAAATTGCGATTAAAGGGCTTGAATATTTCACATAAAGTCCTTTGTTACCTTTGTATGCAAATTCAGGCATTCACAGTCGTATGAAACTAATCCTCACATGTTTCGTATTCGTATACTAACTGTTACTCGGCGACTTCGTCTACATTTTTTAGTAAATAGTAGTATGCCCTTCCGATCGGTTCCCCGACCAATTCAAACGGGGATCGAAATTACGACGGCCTGAGCCGAGGTTCGTAACCCTAGCGGTGACCCCAGACTTGTCGTATCCGTCAGACGGGAGATAGCCTTCAGCCGCTCCATAAGTCCTTCTGAGGGTTTGGAGTGCCATCTGCACTCGCCCGGTGAAGCTGTAAAGGCCAGCTGCGACCATTACAATAATCAGAAAAAAGTAACAGTGGCTCATGCTATAATCCATCTTCACGTCAAATTTCATTAAAACCGGTTCAATGGTTTAGTAAGAAGGTGACAGTTTATGTGTTGTATGTATTCATATGGATATGAGTTTATTGTTGACGACCTCGGTGGTCTAGCGGTTTAGCATACCGCTTTATTTCCAATGATCGCGAGTTCGAGTCCTCATATTCTCCATTCTATTCAGTTTGATTGTTTGTATTGATTTAGGTGTTTTTTATGTATAGTATGTATGTATTAATATATGCACCTATTTTTTTTCTATCAGTTGTCTAATACCCATAACAAAAGCTCTGCTTAGCTGGGGAATAAATGACGATCATGAATTGCCCAAGGTTATTATTATTAAAAAGTATTTGTCTGTTTGTCTTCGAGATTCATATGCAACTTGCGATTTAGATACGAATTAAGTTATTATGAGTATACCCGTGCGTGAAGTGTCATATATACATACATATATCAACATGTATTACGTTAAAACTCTGCTACCATACATCATACTCGGAGTATACTCATTCTATCGACTTGATTGTAGAATTTTAATTTAATAACTGGAAGAGAAGGGCTAAGGACCGTATCAGTGGCGTGCCTTGAGAGAGACCTATGTTCACCAGCGGACTGCGGTGGATTGATGATGAATGATATTTTAATTTTACAATTAGTAATATATATACTTCTTTGTTACAGATAATATAATGCGGTGGAGGATAGAAGCATCAGGGAGCAACATGATACCTCGAATTTTACTGCTTTTTGCAATGTTGTCAATTAGTAAGTATAATATATAAATAAAAATAAACTAAGTAAGAGAAGCAACAAACGGCTTGCAAATATAGGAATATGGCAACGCCTCTTCGTGGGAAAACTCTAATTGACTTCAATTTCACAACACCTATTTATAATATTCGGTTTAACAGAAATGAAGCTTCATGCTATATTTTTGTATAGGACAGGAATGGTAAACGAGCTGAAGGTCAAATAAATAAACGTAACTATTGTATTTATTATACAAAATTAGTAACTTTATTGTGTTAAATATACAGTTTCTCTATATTCTGCGTATGAGTAGGCGTGCAAATTTAAATGTTTAACAATAAATTGTATAAAATAATATTAGTTTTTATTTAAATATTAAATTACCACTTAAATAAGTACTAATATTATAGTAGTTTATACTCGTAGATAGCAAAAATTCTCCTAGTTTATTTTTTAACAATAACTTGTATAAAATAATATTCATATTCTTTTTTAAAACACGAAAATGGAACGGTGAACCCACCTGAGCTAACGCTTTACCAGTGGAGGATGAAAAAATGAAAATGAGGTCAAACCAGTTAGCCCATTATGATAGATTCACCAGGAATTTAATATGACGGGGGAACTGATGTGGTATATTGGTAAGAATGGAGTCAATAGTCCACATTACTAACAATATATATTTATAGTACTCTTCATTTATATGTATAGATGACAAAGACCATCTCCGTATCCCATTAACAGTAGATAAAACCATTCTGTAACTAGTTGCCCAACACAAAAATAGCAAAACCTTGCAAAACAAGATCGAATCCTTGCGATGACAATAATTACCTATGCTCGACCTAATTCCACCAAGGTATAGCATTATGTTACTAGTGTCCAAGCCCAAAGTAATGTAGATGTCTTTCACAACTTGACTGGCGTACAATTTACACTCGTTCACCCATCACTTAAGTATGGAGGTCTTGCCTTACAGATCTTTATCGTTAATTTGATTTCGAGCTAAAATTTGAAATACATTACAAGTTGCTTAAGTGCTATATAATCATTATTCATGTAAACATAAAATAGTAGTTAGTTTTTCAACCTTTTTTTCTATTATTGTACAATATCGCATGTACAAAAAGCAAGCTTAATGCCATATGGTATTCTCTACCGGCTAACCTAAAGGTTTATTTTTATCCTACATTTCATCCTCCACTACCCTGCAACGCTTTCTATTTCTAACGAAATATAGAAATAGGTGGAAGAAGATTGCAGAGCAACGATGGCGAAAAATTGTGACAATAATATGTACAGATCTACTACATTATTTTTTTGTATATATAAATATAAATAAATAATAAATAACTCTGGACAACTAAGACAGCACCATCTAAGCAGAGCTTGTGTTATGGGTACTAGATACTTTTATACTTTAATGTTAAATACTTAGTTTTTTTAAAGTAGATACGGAATATACATAGAAAACACCCAGACCGATACAAACAACCATACTCAAGAATACAAATGTTTGCACCGTCCAAGGAATCGAACCCGCGACCATCGGAAGTAAAGCGGTGTGCTAAACCTCTAGACCACCGAAGCCGTCAATGTATAATATAGTATAACAGCGATGAGTATAATGACATAGTATATAATTAGTAAAATAACATAGTCTTATAAATAATGTGCTTTCACGACTCTTTTCCGATATGGGATAGTCTGAGATTTTATGAATTGTTAATAATGTGATAAAAACACCTTGATTAGTTCACATTTTGCTCCATGGATACATATATATAAACGAACGAAGCCACGGGTTTCAACTAGTAAACTATAATGTCATTATAATAAAGCCTAAGTACATATATTGCTATTTAATTCTAGCCTCTATATCCTAACCATTAAGAATGGAAGGATATATAATGATGTATCTTACATCCGCAGTTGCAACACCGCCGGATCCAAAGATGGTTGCATTGCATTCTTCTTACAGATCTTGAGATACGTTTTATTGAATCGTTGGTTACTAAACGTTTTAATGTTTTTTTTCTTTGTTGATCATTAAAACACCTTAGTCTAATTAGTGTACTAAGTTTAGCCTAAAATATAGTATAGAAAATTATCTGCTTATAAGTTTTTCAAGGGATGATAATGGTATAGTGCACTCGCCTGCGCTAACGGTATACGCTGGCGGGGCACCAGTGGAGCATGATAAGATGCATATGAGGTCAGATCACTTAGCCCATCGTGGCAAATTTACTAAGACCTTATCACGATGGTTTCTAGGGGCAACCGCGTGGAGGTCAACCTTACATGGTACATTACTAGCAATTGAGATATTAATCCACATTACTAACAATACCTTTCTCTTTCCTAAGTTTGTGGGTTAAGATACCACGTAAAAACACCTCGAAGAATTAAGATTAAATTTGCACAGAATATGTTTCTAGATATGGTTCAACATGTAATCTAAAGAAAGCAGAGCAAAAAGGCAGTATTTTAAAAAAAGAAATAATGTTTATTCAAATAAAATTAATATAAGCACTTTTGAATTGTCATATTATTTTGATTCGACCATTCATTTGGAACGCAGACTCATTACAAGAATTAACAAAAAGCGTGTTGTTCTTTTAAATAAATAAAATGTATTAGATATGCGACAATCAACATAGAAACCTCTGCGCACTCAATCTTTGTGCAAACAGACAATATTATCACCTCTATGAATTTTAAGTTAGATTGTACAAAAGTATTACTATCATTTATGATTTATACAGTAAATTTCAAGGGTGCAAAAAGTATGTGTAATTATTTTTAAACCCTTTTCTATGTACATTCACTAATAAAATCCAAATAAACTTTATACGAACTCGCGGGCTAGCTACACTAATTTACGCTACATACTTAATATGGAAAAAAATAACAGTGTGATACACTGTTATTAGTTATACTGTTAGGCGGACGGCAGATAACACCGCAGGATGAACATACTCATTACTAATATTACTAATGATAACAAGGTACGGGATAAGCCCCAAATTTATATTAAAATATACCCCTGTTCGAGCTGTGAACTTTAATTACATTATTAAGAATAACTCAATAACAAAACTACTGGTCAGATCTTGATCAAATATGTATATTAAGTATCGGACCACATAATAATCTCAGATTTCGAATAAAAAAAAAACGGTTCATATAGATAAAGTTCAGAAGTAACACACATAAAAACATACAATACACTTGAGAACCTGTTCCCTTATTTGAAGTCGGTACGAAATCATAGTTTAAAATATTATGTTACATCTATAAAAAATATCATGAAATAAATTTATTGGAGTAATTTTCATATCAATCAACACTAACAATGATGGACAGACAGCCATTGACATTTGACCTATGTTGATCTCCGCGCAAGCGCAACGTCATACTCGGGCATGTCAAACAACACTGTCAACACCTAATCATAACAAGAAAGGTTAATGTTTTGACGTGATTGTAAAATTGGACATCATAATTATATTACACTATGAGATCGGCCCGACTTTACTTTACCGGGTTGAATTTACCTTTTATCATATCTTATTATGATAACATAATAATAGTTATTACTATTAGTCCTAGGTTATTGCCTAGGACAATTCACACAGCGCCATCTAGTCCCACGATAAGTAAAGCTTGTATTATGGATACTGATTTAAATACAAAGATAATTTTTTTTTTAAATACATGTGTAACGCATCGGTGGAGTGTATTGGTGACTAAATGATGAAAACACGTAGATTTCGATTGTAAAATATATTATTACAATGCAACTGTAAACTACAATAAGACAATAATATAATATGTTAAAAATATGAAAGCGCGTGACATATAAAAAACAGTCCTAAAGATAGAAATTTAAATATAATAAAAATATCAAAAGATTTAGCGGCGGTCGGTCCCCAAGAACATGCATACAAAACACCCAGACCGATACAAACAGGAATACAAATCTTCGTACCGTGCGAACAGCTCCCCACCGATCGATCATCCGTCCAATTCAAACGGGGATCGAAATTACGATGGCCTGACCCGAGGTTCGAACCCCTACCGGTGTCCTCAAACTAAAGTCGTATCCGGAGTTTGGCGGGAGGACTTCGGCCGCTCAATAAGTCCTGCCGCGAGTTTGGAGTGCCATCTGACTCGCCCCCTGTCGTCCGGTGAAGCTGTAAAAACCAGCTGCGGCAAACATCATTAGAGTAGTCGCGATATTATTTACAAATATCTATACAATACCACGTCCATTTTAATATCGATATAATACGATAGAAATATTATGCAAAAATTTGATACACTTAATATGTAAATCAGTTATGTAAATATATCTATTTTTCTATTGAATGTATATTTCATATATATGTAATATTTCAACTTTATTCCGTATTAGTTGATACTCGTCGCTTCTCTCGCGTTTATATTGAGTTTATAATTTGTTAATTGTAAATAATAATTGTGCAAAGTTTGTAGTGTACTAATAAGACACGCAATAAAATGTATTTAAAAAAAAAGGTACTATGAAAACAAAAAAGGAATCGAACAGTGACCATCGGAAGTAAAGTAAATCGGTGGTGTGGTAAAAAGCTAAACTCAGCAGTTTAGCTTTTTACCACTTTTTTTTTTTTTTTATCGGCTGTCAATAAACTATGTGTATTTTATCTGTCTATCTAAGACTGGTGCATAACAAATTTCCTTATGAACACTGTGGATTAATATCCACAGTGTTCATAATGTATTCTATAATATTAACATTTCCCACTTTACCACCAACCGTTGTCACCAATATACCGTTAAGTCACTCATAAAATGCAACCACAGACCGACAAACTGTTCCTACATCAGTTATGTAACACTATTGCTATATGAAGTGAAATTACAATGTGTTTTTACTAGGGAATGCAATCCCGACTCGAGATTGCAAATTCGGGATCCCGCGGGATTAGAAATATCAATCCCGCGGGATCCCGGAATTTTCGGGATCCCGTCTA